GTTTAATGAGCAAATTTTCATCTCTAAACCAAAATGTGAAGCAGACCAAATCCAATGGACATTTTACAAAATCTGAAATGAAAGTTAACTTCTTAAAACCAAACCTAAAAGTAAATCTGTGGAAATCAGACAGTAGTCTTAAAACCATGGAAAATATAGGAATAATGGTTAATAAGATCCAGGCAGTCTGATGGGGATGTGTCTTCAGATAATAACTCATACCACTCTGATGAATTCCTTACAAATTTCAAGACTGATGAAGACAGGTAGCTAGCTACTTCTTTAGGGAATGTAGGGCCAGTAGATAATGTTCTTCCAAATTATGTTGTTTCAGCACCTTGATTAGGCAGTTGATCCCAGTTTATTAACTGTGATGTTAGCAGTCATGCTCCTTTAGAGATTACTAATGCTCATGGAGGTGGGCTTGGGAAAGGTCAGGTGCCTCTTTTGAAGAAAAGTCCTTTTTCTGACAACATACACATATTGACTGGCCTGTGGATATTCTGTTGCCATAGATTTGTGCAATATGCACAAAACAAAATGACCCAGCTATCAGACACCAGGTCTGTGTCTCAGCAGGCTACTGAGGAAGAAAATGAAATGACCAGTCAAGTTGCCAATGAAGAAACCCAGTCAGAATCAAACAAACACCTCAACCATCTCAATTAGATATCTTTGTCTGCAACAGACCTCCAGTTTGTGTCAGTTAAGCAGTGCATTCAGTTGTATCTTGAAAGACGAAGCTCTGATTCCAGCATGCTTAAACTTGAGACAGTGCTTTATGCAACTCCTTCACAGAGCACTAGCAACAGCACTGTCTCTTTCTTTGCAAAGACTCAAAGTTCCATGATTCAGGTTGCTAGTATCATCCAAGCTGGGTTAATCCATGAAATAAACTTCGCAAAGGCAAAAGTTCAGAACTGTGCTGCAGAACCGGAAGTGGTTAATTATTTGTGCCAACAATGCCAGGCACAAATAATTCGCATTTGGTTTTTAGCTACAAAAAAATTCTTTCATGGCTTTTTCTTGTTTTTTTTTTTTTTGAGGTGGAATCTCAATCTGTTGCCCAGACTGGAGTGCAGTGGCACACATGCTCATGGCCACCCCAGTGCTGACCTTCTGGGCTCCGGCAATCCTTCTGTCTTAGCCTTCCAAGTAGCAGGAACTACAGGTGTGTGCTACCACACCTGGATAATTTTTTATTTTTTGTAGAGTTGAGATCTCGCCAAGTTTTCTGGGCTGGTCTCGAACCTGCAGGCTCAGGCAATCCACTTGCCTTGGCCTCCCCAAGTGCTGGGATTAGAGGTTGTGCCATGAAACCCGTCTTTTTTTTTTTAGGTGGAGTCTAACTCTGTTGCTCAGACTACAGCCTCGACCTGCTATACTCAACCAATCCTTCCTCCTCAGCCTTCCAAGTAGCTGGAACTACAAACATGCAACCATGCCTGACTTATTTATTTATTTATTTATTTACTTATTTATTGTAGGGACAAGGTCTCCCCAAGTTGCCCAGGCTGGTCTCGAACCCCTGGGTTTAGGCAACCCTCTCACCTCTGCCTCCTGAAGCACTGAGATTACAGGCATGAGCCACTGTGCCCAGCTATGGTTTTTATTTAAATTTGGAAAAGAAGGAGTTTCACGTATCAGGCTATTTTAACCCTTTGCACTGGAGACATTCTGTGGATCACCTAGCAGCAATTTGACCACACTTTTTAATGAAATAGTGAAAAATGAATCACTTCATATTAAATAGTATTGCATTGGAACCACTTATTTTATTGTAATGATATTATGCTTATAATAGAATTTTGGACATTGAGGAACTTATTTATGACAAAAAATCAAAATATATATTTCTAATATGATAATGTATGAAATAGCTACTGACATGCATTGCAAATTCATTAATACATGTTCTGCAATAGTAATTTGTTTGATGTCTTCCACATGATGTTTTTCTATTCAAGCAGACAATGCAGTCTCATTTTCTTCCACATTAATACTATGTAATTTCTTGTCCAGTCTGTTTTTGAAGATGATGTGGAAAGACACACTCATGATTCCTGAAAACCAATTCTCAACTGATCAGAAGCTTGACAGATTTTAAATAGAACATAGATTTTTCATTGTTTTTGAATGGAAAACTTCAAGGAAGTGTACATTTTTGAAAAATTTGTGTTTCCATAAATTTATCCTGTATAATCACCAGCAATCTCTTTATGTCCCCTGAGAGGGAACTCCTACGTGATTTGCTAGATTTACGGTGTCCTCAGAGGGGACATCCAAGTACAAAGAGTTAACTTATACTGTCTAATTCTAGGAATCACAAATTCTAATTATGTTTCTTGGGAAGCGTTTTAAAAGGAGTCTGAACTTGAGCCGATTTCCAAATTTGAGAGCCAGTACTACAGAAGTGCATCATTCTAGAATGAACAGACATGGGTAGCATACACACTACAGAGCAGTTTGCTCACTTGAATGTAATTCAGGAACAGGTCACTTTGGAGCATAACCTGAAACTTTTTTGGAGTGAGGTAGCTGGTTGAAATATATGAAGTTGACACATAAAGGATGGACATGAGCCTGGCACAGTGGCTAACGCCTGTAATCCCAACACTTTGGAAGGCAGAGATGAAAGGATTGCCTGTGCCCAGAGGTTTAAACCAACCTGAGCAACTTGGCGAGACCTCAACTCTACAGTAAATTTAAAATTTATTTATTTATTTTATTTTATTTTTTCTGAGTTGGAGTCTCACTCTGTCACCCAGACTGGAATGCAGTGGCCGCTCCTGGCCACCATAGCCTCCACCTGTTGGGCTCTGGCAATCCTTCCGCCTCAGCCTTCCAAGTAGCTGGAACTACAGGCGCACGCTACTAAGCCCGGCTAATTTTTGATTTATTGTAGAGATGAGGTCTTGTCAAGTTGCCCAGGCGGGTCTCGAACCTGCAGGCTCAGGCAATCCACTCACCTCAGCCTCCCAAAGGCGCGGGATTACAGGCTGAGCCACCCAGCCCGGCTTACAATAAATTTTAAAAAATTAACCGAGTTTGGTAACACCTGTGGTTCCAGCTACTTGGAAGGCTGAAGCAGAAAGATCACCTGAGCCCAGCAGGTCGCGGCTGTGTTGACCATGAGCATGCCATTGCACTCTAGCCTGGTTGACAGAGTGAAACTCTGTCTCAAAAAACAAAGATAAAACAAAAATTAAAAAAGAATGGACATGGGCACACTTAGAGGATTAGTGTTTTTCATAATTTGTTCTGTTTGTTGATTTATTCTTGTGTATTACCTCTACAAGGTATACTATACATTCAATTTTTAATGACTTTAAAGTGTTACCAGAATGGAGAAACATTTTAATATAAATAACTATTTTAGTTGGGATGACTTAACCATTTCCTATGTCTTCATGGTTAATCGAGGGTTTTTGATGCTAGTCAAGAAAGGTATTCTCATTTTTCCCATATTGCACTTGAAAAAATTTAAAATATTCTGCTGTATATACACCCCCAAATCTAGGAGCTAAGGCTAGTCAGTCATAAAGTAAACCTGATATATCAGATATGAGTATCAGCACCTATTCAATTTCATTTTGCTCTGTTTTCAGGAATGTCAGAATATACATGTATTAGTTACTGGAAATTCTAGAAGGAAGTCTTCAATTGTAATTTTTCCCAGAGGACATTCCTCAGCATCTTGTATGCAAATCACAATGATTGAAAATTTAGTCTGGACCAAGTACAGTGGGATGCTGAGGTGAGAGGATCACCTCGAGCAACATCATTTTATTTCTATTTTAAAAGTTAAAAAATATATACAGATAAAAAAAATGTAGTTTTTGTTACGATAACCTTGACCACATAGAACCAGAGCCTCTTCTGTAACTCACACAGTAAGAAAGTTGCATAGCATGTTTAAACAAGTATTGGTTTTTCTGGTATCTTCAGAGCCTTACTTTTTTTTTGAGTCAGAGTCTCTGTCACCCAGACTGGAGTACAGTGGCACAGTCACAGCTCACCACAGCCTTGGAACTCCTTGGCTTAAGGGACCCATCCTTCTTAACCTCCTGAGTAGCTTGGACTATAGGTGTATTGCATAACACCTGGCTAATTTTTTTTAAAAAATATTTGTAGAGATGGGATCTCGCTATGTTTCCCAACCTGGACTTGAATTTCTAGGCTCAAGTGATTTTCCCTTCTTGACATCTCAAATGTTGGGATTACAGGCATCAGCCACTGCACCCAACTGTGTAAGAACATTACTTTGTTGAAGTAATTCTCAGCTGAACATTGTGTCTGTTGTAACTTTGATAAGCACCCATTTTTATTTGTTACTGCTTGGTTTTTTTGAAATGTCAAATCTTGTGACTATTAAAGTACCACCGTAATTAAAAAAAAACAACAACTGAGAACTGACAGTGCAGAAATTGAGATTAAGAGATTTGGTGCTTTCATACTACTTGATAAGAGTTATTTCATATACACCGAAAATAAGAAACAAAAATCTGTATGTGTTTTTCCATGTTTACATTTTATTTTTTCATTTTATTTATTTATGTTTTGAGTCACGGTCTCATTTTGCCCAAGCTGGAGTGCAGTGGAACGATCACTGCTCAACTCAGCCTCCAATTTATGGGCTCAAGTGATCTCCCAGCGTCAGCCTCCTATGTAGCTGGAACTACAGGTGCATGTCACCATGCTCAGCTAATTTTTTATTTTTTATAGAGGCAGGTCTTGCTATGTCGCCCAGGCTGCATGTTTACATTTTATAATTTCATTTTCCCCTTTTTGCGTGTGTGTATTGTAAAAATATCGGCCTTCCTAGAATGGGCGGGGGACACAAAACCTCAGACAGTAGAGAAACACTGACCTAAACGACCTACATCTGCAACAGCTTAAGACGTAGTGCGCTAGAGCCTCTCTCGATGAGGAACTACAATGCCCAGAGTTCCCCCAATGCGTAAAAGCCTCCCACTGCGCCGGCGTCGCCGCGACTCCTTGGGACATGTAGTGTTTGCGTTTCGCAGTGCATGCGCGCTCATCGGGCATTTCTTCCTGGTTTAGGGACAGGTTCTCTACCAGGGGAAAGGTGATGTCTGTCGAGGAAAGGCTAGCAACCCTGGAATTTTTTGAGCGATACTACCGAGTCTGTTGCGTTCCATGTTGGAGACCATGCACAGCCCTGTCGTCTGAGCCTGCGTAATCCCGAGCTTCTCCAGAAAATTGTCGGGCTTTGAGGGAAAACATTGCTGGCAAGTTGGGACTGGGCACGTTTTGGGGCGTGGGATATAGGGTTCGATTGAGAATCGGAGGCCTCCTTCAGGATACTGGGTTCTGTGAAACGCGGAGGGTTAGGGTAGGGCTGAGACCGCGTTGTCTCGTTTGTGTAATTCTACGGTATGTTCGGCGCAGAGGATACCTGTCACTTGCAAATCGTGTTTTTGTTCACCCTGCACGATGCCTGTTCACAGCTAGCACGTGTCTCCCACTTATAGTCCCAGGGCCTCTCCTCTGGTTAAGTGACTGCCCTAAGGTCACGGAGAGCTGGGTACCCTACGCCTTTGTGCAGTAGCCATTGAGCTGCCTCCACTTAAGTTGTGAATAGGTCGTGTCTTGAGAATGCCTTTGCTTGGTGCAGGTGTGTGACCCAGATCAGTTTGGGTCACGATGCTGTACTGATTGCCACAAACAACAGCATTGTCCCATCGTTTTTTCTTGTGAACAGGACAACATGGCGGTGGGGGTGGGGATCTGAGGCATAGTGATACAATAACCACGTGTTAGTTTGTTGATTAAATAAATCAATAAATCAATAAATCATCTTTGTTAACTGTAACATGTTGCAGAAGTGTTAGATAGTGCGATTTCAGTACCCGCTTTTGTAAGCATTGCTTCTTAATTATAAATGTAAATATTTGTAGAATATATTTGTAAGCAAATGATTCTTTTTCATTATCTTTAGTTTTTATATTGCTCCAACATGTCTTGAAAGATTCCTTGATTTTTTAATATTTCTTGATTGGTGCTCTGTCTTGCTTATTGGTAAAAACCTATATAAGGCCAGTGATAATTAAAGCGTTTGAGTTTTTTTAGGGCACAAAAAGAAAGGAGCAAGAAATTATCCTGAAAGCAAATATGCCAGAGACCATCCCTCTGAAAACAATTTTAAAAATTATGACTCTGAATTAATAGTCACTCTTTTTAGAAACTTTAAAGTTTTTAGGAAAAACTCTTAAAAAGTTAAGGTTTCTAAAAATAAGTGATATACATATTCAAACAATTTTGCATTTGTATTGTAAAAAAGACAGTTCTGAGTTTATGGAATTTTTTTCCTTCTGCTTTTACGGCCAAATTTGAAAATTTTATGGGTCAGATTTAAACATTTAAAAAAATGGAATGCAGAAAGAAGCCTCTTTTTCTGGACACTTAGTTTTGGATCAAATTCTGTTAATCTGGTTCAGATTAAGAACAAAGTCTCTAGTTAATGCAGAAAAAGTGTTAGTTTAATTTAAATTTTGAAATATACTTGATATTAATGATATTAAGCTTAACCATGCTAAACCAGTTCTTTTACAGAAGGTGCATATTGGAGTGGGTTTAGAGCTATCATGATGGAAACAAAATAGTCAAAAGAAAAAGTTATTTTTATACTAGCATATTGCACCTACTAGTTATATATAGTTTTTTTAACCCTAAGAAAATTTGTGATAAATGAACAGATTTCTTATTTTCTAGATTCATTGGTTACAAATATGCTTCGTCTAAGAGCGTTTTGTCCATTCTCCTGGAGAGTGTTTCAGTTTCGGCCCTTCAGTTGTGAACCATTAATTATCCAGATGAATAAGTGTACAGATGAAGAGCAAATATTTGATCTTATTGAAAGAAACAAAGCCATACTTTCAGAAAAGCAAGTGGGATGTGCATTTAATATACTTTGGCAACTTCAAAAGCAGAAGACCAGCTTGCTAAACAATGTTGAATGTGTCAAAGACCATCCCCAATTTCTTACTCTTTATAATTTAACTACAAATAAATTCAAAATAATGAATGATGATACCCTGGTGAATGTGTTATACATCACACAACAGTAAGTAATTTAGTTTTAGATTTTATTGAAATGATTATACAGTTTATATTTTATTTTTTCAAAAATCTCTTTAAATGAAAAATAATGTATTTTTCCCAGTAAATAGTTTTCCTGTTAAACTAATATTTTATAGATGTCTGGAGGATATTCTTTGATACCTATTCATAATAGTACAGTTTTAAAATAGAATGTAATCAACCATGAAAGTAGAAATGATTAACTATAGACATATGAAACTGGGTTATTGTGGAATTTTGTAAAAATGTGATTGGCTAAAGATAATGAGACTATAATAGGTAAACAATTAGATTATAGCCAGGCTCGGTGGCTCAGCCTGTAATCTCGCACCTTTGGGAGGCTGAGGTGAGTGGATTGCCCGAGCCTGCGGGTTCGAGACCTGCCTGGGCAACTTGGTGAGACCTCATCTCTACAATAAATCAAAAATTTAGCCGGGCTTGGTAGCGCGCGCCTGTAGTTCCAGCTACTTGGAAGGCTGAGGCGGAAGGATCTCCCGAGCCCAGCAGATGAGGCTGTGGTGGCTGGGAGCGGCCGCTGCACTCCAGTCTGGGCGACAGAGTGAGACTCCAACTAAAAAAACAACAATTAGATTAAAGATTAATGCCTAATAGCAGTCAGCAATTAGTAAAGTGTATCTGTGATAATGTGTTTATAATCTGGTTCCCATTATTTAAAAGAAATTAAAAATTAATTTAAAAATTGATGTCAGATATGTTTTCTAGGGCTATTGGTATCAATAGATTGTTTCCAAATAATAACTCCAAAAGAAAAGGAAATAAAGTTATTTTGTGGACTCATTTATATTTAATAAGTGTTTCACAAATTATATTACGTGGATTATTGACAGGTATTACATGCAAAAAGGCTTTCTTGGTGTCAAAGGAAAACTCAGAGATAAAAATGAACATTAAGAAAAGAAATTTTCACTGGGTGCCGTGGCTCATGCCTGTAATCCTAGCACTTTGGGAAACCAAGGCATGATGATTGCTTGAGGCCAGGAGTTCAAGATCAGCTTGGGAACATAGTGAGACCTGGTCTTTACAAAAGGTCAAAAACTAGCCAAGTATGGTGGCGCATGCCCATAATCCTAGCAACTTTTGAGGATCACTTGAGCTCAGGAGTTTGAGGCTGCATTGAACCATTCATGTTCAGTCACTGCACTCCAACCTGGGTGACAGAAAAAAAAAAAAAAGAAAAGAAAAGGAATTTTGCGTTGCAAGGAAATTCACCATTCAGGAGAACTGGGTTCCCCAAATAAAGGATTCAGTAGGTGTAAAAGGGAAAAAAAGCACACAAAAATTACAATTAATTTATTAATCTCATTGGTAGAAAAATGACAATTTTCTCACTGATGATCCAACCTTCAAGGGTTGTTTAAGTAGCTGTGGATGTCAGCATTACACAAGTTAGAGATGCAAGTTGTTTTTGTTAGGGAATTAGCATTTATAGGAAAGGGACTTAAGGCTTTACTTATATTGGGGATTGCTGTTAAATTAAAAAAGGATGATTCTTTTTTTTTTTTTTTTTGGTGGCCTTTCTCAGCTTACGTTTTATTCACTGAGATACATGAAGGGAATGCTTAATTTTAATGATTCAGGTGAATGGTTCTGAAGCAAGATGTCCTGGTTGAAAAAAAAAAAAGGTGAATGGTGACTATTAGCTTTTTACATATGTTATATTCTCCTATAAAAATATTTTTATAACTAGAACAAAGCAACACATTATGTAGTTTTAGCATAAAATACATAATTGAACATTTTCATTGAAATGAGCAGATAAAAGAATGAGAGGGCATGGAATAAAGATATTTATTAGGTTGTACTGACAAATCAGAATACTGAAATTGAGAATGGATTGGAAATTAGGACTGCCTATGTAAGAGGGATATAGCTTGAGGTTCACTTTTGAATTATAATTCTTATTGCGTGTGTTTGTAATGACTTTAAAAAGTTTCTGTATGGAAGATTGTTTTCTCTTGTTTTTACTGAGGTTTGCCATTGAGACCCATGACCCACTAGTTGAAGCACTAGTTACAGAAGCATGGCGAAGACTGGAAAGGCAAGTACTCAATAACCTTCTAAGATCAAGGTTATTCTTTTCAGGGTTAGCATGGTGAAATCTTATAGGGTCAGGGAGTTGCTGCCTGTCTGTCAAGCTTCATTGACAAAAATGTATTTAAACTCATTTTAGTTTGAGGGTTTTTGATCATGTAATGGGTATTCTTTCTTTAAGACAGAAAACAAAGTATTTCAACTATTCCCTCTTAAACTAAGAGCAGGGAACAGTGTGTTTTTCCACATATGAGAGGGACCCCAAAAAGCCCCAGAACTTATTTATAAAAAATTGTGTTTTTATTCTTACATGTTTAAATTTCAGTTACCTCCAAAGTACTCTCCATTTGATACTAAACACCAATTGAGATGCTTTTTCCACTGCTCAAAACAGTTTTGGAACTTGTCAATTTTGATGTTTTCAGTGCTTCTGCTTTTTGTTTGTTTGTTTGTGGTTTTTTTGTTTCACCTCTTCTACATTGGCAAAATGTTTCCCTTTGAGCACTTTCTTCATCTGGGGAAACAAGCAAACAAAAAAAGCTGCCTGAGGTGAGATTAGGTAAGTACGCAGGGTAGACCCAGGGGTCATGTTGTTTTTTGGTCAAAACTGCTGAACACTCAGTGCAGTGTGAGCAGGTGTGTTGTCATGGTGGAAGAACCAGTCACTTGTTTGACATTTGTCAATGTCTGACTGACCAGTCACAAGTCAGACATTTCTTTTGCAAATCATGGCACAAACTTCTCGAAACTTCCAGATAAAAACTTTGGTTGGCCATTTGATCTGGAGGAACAAATTCTGAGTGTACAACAAGGGGCCCACCCTCCAAAAGATAATTCCGGATTTTTTTTGTGTATCCCCCTGGTGTATAGTTAATCAAAATATGAAGAAGACAGAGTCACAGCTACTTATGAACTAGCCTTTTTGAATCTTCTGTTCTGAAAGAATCTTTCAGAAATAAAAGATTCTCAACCGATTGGCTGTCAATAAAAGCCTATATGTGCAGGAGCCTTGAATGGAAAAAAAAAAAAAGAAGGCAGCAGTTTAATAGAAAGGAAGATTGTGTGGCACAGCTTAGGAGCATCTGTAGCTACTTGTCTGTCTCTCCCTTCTGATGGCGAGGAGAGGACCAAAGCTTATAGGTAACTTAAAAGCTTTTTAAAGACGTCTCAGGTCCACTGCTGTTGACCATATTAATTCATATCTATTTTCTATACTATACCCAGCTATATTTTCAGCATGTTGCCATAATTGGTAATCATCTAGAAAAAGGGGAGATTTGCTCAGGGTTCTCGTCTTGCGAGCATAGAGAAGTATATTCTGTAAGTATATGTAAGAAGCTTTTTGTGAAAGAGCTGAGATGATAGAGCTCGTTTTGGGAAATCTTTATCTATTTCTGTAAACCTCAGATTTATTAATCTAGGAATTCTGAATGACAAAGGTCCATTATTAGTAGAATAAGGCAAATGTTAGTGAGGAAAGGGAAAATAAGGGCGAGAAAGAGACAGGAAAATTTTAAAAACCACAGAATAACTCTCCTTGTAAATCAAACAGAAACCTAGACCAGAAAGGAAAGGCTTGACTAAGACAAAGGAGAAACAACAGGCTGTTTGTTTGTAGACACAGGAGAGCAAGCATTCTGATGCTTTTTGTTTTTTAGTTTATTGCTTCTTAAGGCTTACATTATGATAAATTTTTACTGTTGTAGACACATATATTGGCAAACTCTGTAGGCCTTTGTTATTTGGGCTGGATTAAATTAAACAAGGAACAGAACAGTTTTGTGGGTTTAGATATCCTGCATTCATCTACTAAATTGTTATTTTAGTTAATCACATTATCTAAACCCATCTGTCTCCTCTTGCACTCTCTACCTATAACTGTCCTTAACTGAGTAAGCAGAGTAATCTTATTCCTTTTACTAACAGTAAGAACTATCTACTTACTGAATCTTTGGGGTTAAATTTGATCATTGTTGATAATACATCACAACAGTGTATTTCTCTTCAACGTTGTGTGGTGTGTATTTTATAGCTTGAACACATCAGATGTAAAATAGGTGTTCTTTTTATTTTACTATTTACTGTATTAAACAAGTTATGAATGTAAAATTGTACTTCCTAGTGAATCAGACATTATCTTTAAATTTTTCTTCATTTCACAATAACTCAGAAAATAATGAGTTTGTTCTTCTGTATGGGTTTGTTTTTCTTGTGGCAGTACAGTATTTTTATTATTTTATAATACTAGGTTATAGAAAAATTTTAAGCCTTAATTTATATTTCATATATACAATTTCATATAGTCATAGAACCACTGAATTTTTAGTTTTTGTGGTCTATGAAGTTTTTTTTTTACTACAGTAGCTATTAATCAGTGATCTTGCTAAAATATCTATGAATTTATGTTTTATAAATATAACTTATAATTATCCAAATGGGATAGATTATTGGATTAGTACTCTATGATGGAACACGGCAAGGATATTAATATGTATTTGAAATCCATATTTTAAAAAAGTTTCTTATTTAGAAGATTTTAAACATTTATAGAAGTAGACTAGTATAATGAACTCTCAAGTACCTATCATCCAGCTTCAACTGTTTATCAATATATAGCCAGTTTGGTTTTATCACCTTCCACTGTCTCCCTACCCTTCAGTATATGTTACATAATTATGTTATTTCATCTGTAAATCCTCTATGTATCTCTGAGAAAAGGGTTGAAAAAAATACATAACCAGCTAGGTAGGGTGGCACATGCCTGTAGTCCCAGCTATTCAGGAGGCTGGGGTAGAAGGATCAGTTGAACCCTGGAGTTTAAGTCCAGCCTGGGCAATATAACGAGACTCTGAATTTTTTTTAAATATTAAAAATAATTTATTAATATTACCTAATACCTGATCTGTGTTCAAGTTTTTTATATTCTTGATTGTCCTATAGGCAGTTTGTTTAAATCAGTATCCAAGCAAGGTTCACACTTATTGTCTCAAGTTTCTTTTGTCTCTTTTTAAGTAAACATTTTATTGAAGTATATTACATTAAATTATACCAATCATAAGTATACAGCGTGATGCATTTTCACATACTGATCACTTCTGTGTAATACACCAAGATTAAGAAACATCTTTAGTTCCCTTCATGTTCTCTTCTAGTCCCAACCCTCAAGAGGATCTTGACCTCTAACACCTTACATTGTTTTTTTTGTTTTGTTTTTTGAGTTGGAGTCTCACTCTGTCGCCCAGGCTGGAGTGCAGTGGCATGCTCACAGCCACCCCAGTGTCGACCTGCTGGGCTCCGACAGTCCTTCCAAGTAGCTGGAACTATAGGTGCACACTATCACACCCGGCTAATTTTTATATTTATTGTAGAGACAGAATCTCTACAATAAATAGCCAAGTTATCCGGACTGGTCCTGAACCCGCAGTTTCAGACAATCCACTCACCTAGGCCTCCCATAGTGCTTGGGATTACAGGCTGAGACACCAAGTCCAGCCTTTTTTTTTTTTGATTCGGACTTACTCTGTCGCTCAGGCTAGAGTGTATCAGTCCGCTCATGGCCCCTGCAGCCCTGACCTGCTGGGCTCAGGTGATCTTTCCGCCTCAACTTTCCAAGTAGGAACTACAGGTGAGTGCCATGACACCTGGCTAATTTTTTAATTTATTGTAGAGGCAAGGTCTCAACAAGTTGCCCAAGCTGGTCTTGAACCCCTGGACTCAGGTAATCCTCTCACCTCAGCCTCCCAAAGTGCTGGGATTATAATCTTGAGCCACTGCAACCGGCCTTCTATTAGTTTGTTTTTGTAGAAATGAGATCCTACAGTATGTACTCTTATATCTAGTTTAGTTGCTATGAACTTTCGTATGCTTATTTTTTAGTGAATTCAAAATCTATTAAAATATAATTCTTACCTTTCTTTTGCTTTGCTATTTACTTGTTGAAGATATGGTTCATTTTTCCAACAAAAAATTCCTGAAGCTTAGAGCACTGTTGTAGTAGCAGCTGTTGTATTTGATAATGTGCAACCATGATTCAAAATTGCCCTGTAACCCCCCCAAAATTAATAAGTAAATGATTCAAATAATTTTTAGTGATTTTCCTCTTTAAAATTGTTCTACAGTATCTGACTTTGTTACTTTTATCACAATAATTAGCATTTTAGAAAACATTCATTTTATGTTAGGAATATTTTATAACTTATAAAATAAAAAGCAATAAAAAATATTACTAACATAAGTAACTAAGTAAAAGCAAATACTAATGATCTCTTTTATGTGTTTTCTTTAATAGGTTTGATGTTAATGTGCTTTCAAGATTTTCCTCTTGCCTAGCGGATCAGCATTTGTATTTTAGCCCTTTAATGGGAAAAATAGCTGATATTGTTCATAGGAACTTGGAAACCATACAGGACCTAAGGTAAATTTATTTAGGGGGTCTAGTATTTTGGTTGAATATCCTGAGCTTTGGATTCAGACACAGATCTGTCACTCATAGTTATGTGACTTGAGGCTCATTTACTTAACTTCTTGGAAGTTCATTATCCTCATCTACAAAACAGAGATAGCAATAGCTACTTTGCAACATTGCTGTGGGGATTAGACATACGGTACATAAAGTGTAATACAGTATTGTTGAGGTCTGCAAAAGGTCTGAGATTTTACCTTATTTCCTAGCTAACAAGTTTGCCTGCCACATTTTCATAGGTACTGGTGGAAGACATGATACTCCTAGGCCAGAGATAGAAGCTTAGGTTTTCTTTTCTTTTTTTTTTTTTAATTAAATTAAATTAAATTAAATTAAATTTTTGAGTCAGAGTCTCACTCTGTTGCCCAGGCTGGAGTGCAATGGCATGCTCATGGCCACCACAGCCTTGACCTGCTGGGCTCAGGCGATCCTTCCACCTCAACCTTCCAAGTAGCTGGAACTACAGGTGCATGCTACCACACCTAGTTTATTTTTTGATTTATTGTAGAGACGAAGTCTCACCGAGTTGCCCAGGCTGGTCTCGAACCCCTGAGCTTAGACAATCCTCTTGCCTCAGCCTCCCCAAGTGCTGGGATTACAGGTTTGAGCCACCACACCTGGTTATTTTTTTATTTTAAAGATGTGGGGGATAATTCAGGAATATGTGTACAAGTGGTATCGTGTAGGCAAAGTTTGGGCCTCCCTTTGGTCCCCACTTTGCCTGGTTTGAGATCAGGTACCCTTATTGATGCTGTGCCCCACCTCCACCCTGGCAGTATCCCACTACTGCCAATCCCTTTCTTATAGTATTATGGTCAATGTTCAAGATTTGCTTATGAGTGACAGAACATGTGATACTCTGTTCTTTGTTTCTGTGATAGATCATTGAGTATGATAGACTCTAAATCCATCCAAGTTGCTGCGAAGACCATGTATTTGTCCTTCTTTATGACTGTGTAATATTCCATTGTGTATATGAACCACATTTTTTTTTTTATCCAGTCCGGTTTCCATGGGCAGCATGGTTGGTTCCATGTTTTTGCTATTGTGAATAGTGCTGCAATAAACATGCATGTGCAGGTATCTTTTTTGTAGAATGAGCTGAGTTCCTCCGGATATATTCCTAGTAGGGGGATTGCTGGGTCACATGGAAGGTCAATTTCTAGTTCTTTTAGAAATCACCACACTTTATCAAAGAGGCTACACTAGTTTGCATTCCCACCAACAGTGTAGAAGCATTCATTTTTCTCTGCATCCTTGCCAGCATCTGTTGTTTGTTTTATTAATGATGACCATTCTTACTGGGGTTAGGTGGTATTTCAATGTGGTTTTGATTTGCATTTCATATGTCTGTTTGCTGCCTGTATATCTTCTTTTGAATAGTGTCTATTGTGTCTTTTGCCCACTTTTTTTTTTTTTTTTTTTGAGTTGGAGTCTCACTCTGTCGCCCAGACTGGAGTGCAGTGGCCGCTCCCGGCCACTGCAGCCTCGACATGCTGGGCTCTGGCGATCCTTCCACCTCAGCCTTCCGAGTATCCGGAATTACAGGTGCATGCTACCACGCCCGGCTAATTTTTGGATTTATTGTAGAGATGAGGTCTCACCTGCCCAGGCGGGTCTCAAACCCGTGGGCTCAGGCAATCCACTCACCTCAGCCTCCCAAAGGCGCAGGATTACAGGCTGAGCCACTGAGCCCAGCTTCTTTTGCCCACTTTTTAATGGGGCTTTTTGTTTTTTTCGTTTTGGCAACATTTGAGTTCCTTGCAGATCCTAGATGTTAGGCCTTTGTCATTCATACTTTTGACAATTTTTTCTTCCTATTCTGTGGGCTGTCTCCCTGCTCTCTTGAGAGTTTCTTTTTGTTTTGCAGAAGCTTTTCAGTTTGATAAGATCCCACCTGTCTATCTTATCTTTTATGGCATGGGCATTTGGGTCTTTGATCAGGAATTGGTTGCCAGTTCCAATTTCCATAAGGGTGTCTCCTACATTTTCTAAGGTTCTTATAGTTTGAGATTTTACGTTTAGGTCTTTGATCCATTTAGAGTTAATTTTTGTGTATGGTGATAGTTAGGGGTCCTGTTTCAACCTTCAACATGTGGTCAGCCAGTTTTCCCAGCACCATTTACTGAATAGGCTCTCCTCTCCCCAGTGGTTGTTGGTGGAGGCTTTGTCAAAGATGAGTTGGTTGATAAATTGAGGTTTTGCTTTTGGAATCTCTATCCTGTTCCATTGATCCATATGCCTATTTTTGTACCGATACTAGACTGTTTTGATTATTGTAGCTTTATGGTAAAGTTTAAAGTCTGGAAGTGTGATACCTCCTTCTTTATTTCTTTTGCTAAGGATTATTTTAACTACTTATGGTCGTTTATGTTTCCATATGAATTTCCATTTGGAAATTTCCAGGTATTGTCATTTCTAGATCTGAGAAGAATAGGTATTGCATTGAATCTGTAGATTGCCTTTGGTAGGATGGATATCTTTACAATGTTGATTCTTCTTATCCATATTTTTCTGTTTGTTTGTGTCTTCTTGGATTTCTTTGAGCAGTGTTTTGTAGTTTTCATTGTAAAGGTCTTTCACTTCTCTGGTTAGGAAGATGATGAGGTATTTCTTTTTTTTTTTTTTTTTTTT